TTACAATACTGTAATATAATACAAAATAATAAAGAAAATACAAAATATAAAGAAAAATAAATTAACCTGCACTTACCTATGAAAACCTTCGTGGCTGGTGTGAGGGAGACAAGAGGGAGGAGGGTTATTGCGTAGGACGACTTTCACTATCACTAGCATGGGAGACGATCACCCACAATCCCGCAGCGAGAGAACCATTGGCTCAGTTGTGATCATGTGACGTTCGGCATCACGTTCTACTCGTATTGCAAGACAGCGCTCGTTTATCAAGTTAAAATTTATTAGAAATGTTTGCTCGTCTTGCGGAACACTCGCAGATCAAGTTATTCGCAATCCGAGGTTAAGTTAAAATTTATTAGAAATGTTTGCTCGTCTTGCGGAACACTCGCAGATCAAGTTATTCGCAATCCGAGGTTAAGTTAAAATTTATTAGAAATGTTTGCTCGTCTTGCGGAACACTCGCAGATCAAGTTATTCGCAATCCGAGGTTTTACTGTACTTCAACGTGGACTGACCTGTTAACATGTATGTATGTATGTATGTTGTATGAGGATATGTTGAAATAACCACCTAAACCTCTTCCATTTCCTCCTCCCCTCCCATTTCCCTCCGTACATTTCTTGGAGTCTGTCCTGGGCGCAGGCGTATAAAGTCTTTCCCTGCTGTCATTCTTCAGTTAGACTGCAGATTTTCCCGCACCTGTAGCCAGCATGCCCTTTGCTAGTGGGGAATTCTGGAAGCCCCAGTGCCATGCCAGTCTGGAAGGTACCCAGTTGGGGGAACCCCAAGGCAGGTGTAGTAGAATTGCAGGGTTAGTCACGAGGCACTTTGATTACTGACTGTAGCATTTAAAGTTGGTTTGTAATTGCTAGATTATAACTGGGCTTGAGTTCATAGGGTTCCTAGCCAATGCTGTATGTTCCAAAACCTCCTATGGTGTACACTCTGGAGCCCACCAAATCCAAATTGGCAGGGGACAGTGTCAGAGGCTTTGCTGCAGTTACGGAAGTATATTTTCTGAATATGATTCCATAGTCAATTTATAATCAGGTCTCTTTCTTTTTGGGGAACAGGACTACAGCCCAGTCACCCAGAAAACAACAGAGGTGCAAAGTCTTCCTCCTACTCAGAACCTCTGCATTCCGGAGCCAAAAGGGATTCAGCAAGGTTGGTCTGTGAAGGGGGGAGCTCTGCCGCCCCCAGTGAGACAGGCCTGTCTTTGGCAGCACCAGCCCCTTACGAGGCCGAATTGAAGTCCGTTTCAAGGATTAAGACGTTGGCAGAGACCGAGAGGCTTTTTGACGAGCTCACGCAAGAAAAGCAACAGGTAGAAATGGAGTGTTTTTGCCTCTTTTTCCACACCCCTCCGTTCAAAAAAAAATCTGGGTCAACATTCCTTTTGCTGTAGGTATTAAGTTACTATCAAAGACGAGGGTGGGTCATCAGAAATCCCATCCATGCTGAATAGTCTGAAATTCAGCTCAGCACAATTTCCAGTGTCAACACATAGATGGTTTTCCATAGAGGGATGGCAAGCATGCAGTGAACCTGGCCGTGGCCACTCTGCGTCAGCTTCTAGGAACATCCTGAAACAGAATTAGCTTGCTTCAGCCCGAGAAGGAAGCCGCACATTCAGTCCATACACCCCTCAACTTCTTGGGCTGAAGCAAGCTAAGCAAGCCCATGTGCTTGGCAGACAGCGGCCGTTTCTTTTCCTTCGCCCAACCCCGTCATCCCTGGGAGCAAAGTCAGCTGGGGAACGCTGCCAGGATGGTAGACAAAACAGGACCCCTGAAAAACTGGCAGGAAATGTTTAATCAGCACAGGAAATCTACGGGGGAACCCCCCTCCCACAAACCACCCCTTGAGAACGGTTTAATGTTTGCAAAAGACAGGACGGAGAAAGGCTGACTAGAATCCTGAGGAACTTTAAATGGCAGGTCCCCACTTCTGCCTGTTTCAAAACTACCTTTGTGTAATACATTTTGAAACAAAAAGTCACTTGGGATTGAGGCAGCATGGTGGGTAGATGAATCCATCCCCTTCCGCTGAACAGAACTGTAATTACGTTCTAGGGTGATCCTGCTGTGAGATCCCCTGAGCTGGGAAAGGATTGCTCGCTTTTTTGTGGATCGTTTTTATTTGTTTGTTTGATTTTTCCTTTTTTACTCTAAAAACATTCACTCTGGGGGAGATGGGCTGCATATACATTTAATAATAAAAATAAATAAATAAAATGTTTCTGTACTAACAGCTTGAGTCCCAGTTGAGTCGAATACCTTGTGCTGGAGGAAGAATGACGCTACAGGCCCGACTGAATCAGGTTTAAATTCTTCTCTTGCTCTGTCTCTGGGATGAGGTGTGCACAGGGGTGCGTGTGTGTGTGTGTAGTTCTTTCAGTCTTACGGCTGAATCCAGGGCTCTGCACAGCAGACCAAGATTTCCTCAAAATAAGGAAGCACGTTGTGCCATCCCAATGCAAGCGCAAAGGGCCACTGTTTGTGTGGTGAGGTCATAATATGCATTTCATCGTTTGCTTCCCTCCCTGGACATCATGGCTGCAAACAACAGAAGGAACTCCCCCAGTGGATGTTTGCTTCTGTCCCTTTTAGCTGCCTGGCTCCTGCAGACAATTTACTCATTCAATAGTTGCAGCTTTTAAAGGTGAGGCAGCACGTGTGAATGATCCACCACATATCAGATGCATTTCTATGGCCCGGAAGACCATGCTTCATGGTTCCCACAGCTGTCCCCAGTACACAACCCTTAGACTTTTTAGAATGTATTTGCCAATCGCAATATGAGAAACTAAATAAAGACGAATGGGGGGTGGGAAGGATTCCTGCGTTCTCCCAGAAGTTCCAATCCGCAGTGGTTCCCAGGGAGAAAAATGATTGTGCTTCTTTCCACAAATGGAAAGCCATCATGGCACAAGAAATCAGGTAAAAAATGGGCACCAGATGCTCATTCCAGAAGCACTGTGGTCTTTTTCTGATTCTTTCTGGATCCTGAATGCCCCCTCTGAATATTCCCTTCAGGAAGCTCTAGAAGATCGCCTGGAAAGAGTGAATAGAGAATTGGGTTCCATCCGCATGATTCTGAAGAGATTCCACATTTTACGGACCTCCGCAAATATTTGAGATGACCCGACTTTTAGATATCCTTTTATTTGCACTAAAGTACAATAATTATGCACTCTGAAAATGCAACTGGTTTTGTATTTTTGTAAGCCCTCTGCAGCCTTTTTGCAATCATGTTCTCTTTACACAAGACGATATTTTGTACTGAGCCACATATTTTCAAAACCTATTTTTGTTATACCCGAAGGAATCAATCTGTCAGTTTTGTATTTTGCTACTTTTGAAGAAGCAGTTTTTTTGAAATAGCAGACCTGAATTCTTTGTAAGCGTAGAGACACTGAGAGGCAGCTTGTTTTTCAGAAGTTTATCATGTTGTGATTGATCTGACCGTGCTCACCGTTTTTAGAGCTGGAAGCCAAGTCTATCTTGTAAAGTATACACACAGTGCTGATTTTTTATTTATACTAACGGGACACACAGCTTCTTCTTGCGAAGTGAGCTCCAGGCAAACATTTCTTAGCTTAAAGCTCAGAACAGCATCTTGTTTCATAAGCTCCTTTGCTCACTCACAGCACAGTGTTATCAACAAATGCACAAGTGTTGAAAAGTCTATTTAAATGCCCACCTAATTGCATTCCAAGGAGTTAGACATCAGAAGTTCTCTTTTTAAACAATTGCTTTTATTTTGCATGTTTATTGTGGAAATATTAATTAAAATTAAGTGTCTGAACTGAAGTAGCTTGAACTGTTTTTTAAAGCCTCTCTTGGAACAGGGAGCCCTCTTCTCTTTGCTGTCGCATTTTACAGTCCAGGTAATTGCACGCGCACGGTTCCCATATCGGATAAAGACTTTTCAGTCTGTCTGACTGGATATTTATTGTATAGTCTCTATTTGTTTAGCAAGTTGAGTATTTTTCATTTTCATTCAGCCTCCTTCCTCTCAGCCAAAGACAAGAATCTCAGAAAAGCAATATTGCGTGTAGATCTGCGTCTGTAATTGGTTGTTGGGTGCCAAGGGTAGACACTAGTCCAATTAATTTTTCTCCAGACCCCTCATGAGTTGAGACACATTCCTGCTGCCTTCCTCCTCTAGTATTTTCTCAGTTCTCTTAGAGCAGTGTTTTTGCGACACACTAAACCCCCCATTTTTTGGTGATGTTTTTGTACACATCAACACTAC